TTTTTTGTTTTAGTTTTAGTTTTTTTTAGTTAACAACAGAGTTTATTAACAGCCGAAATCTCGGCGACAGTCGATTCCGTATGTTTTTTTTTTTTTTTGTAACAGAAAGCGAACCAATCGAAAAGTTGTGCAGATAATTTTTTCTTTCGTTCATGCTTAAAAAAATTATAAATCTGCTAAGAAAATTTATCTACCAACGATCTATGTCGAATCTTAATTTATCGAGTAAAAACGTATATACATTTAATGAAAACGAAATTAAACATACGTATTGATACTTACCGATACGAAGTAATTGATAAAAAACAATTTTTTTCTTCAGCTATGGATATTTTTGAGATTTTCAGAGTGAAGAAGTTGGAAGAGGTTTTATCTGCGTTTGAGCTGATTCTGTAATTTTATGTAGGGAGTGTTTGATTTTTATTTGTTAACTAAAATGGTAGAAAGGTTTTTTTAACATAACCATATTTTGTAATTGTTTTATTTATTTAAGGACATTTTTGTAGTTTGAACTCTTAGAGTCTTAGGCTACTTTGAAATTATTGATTTATGAAAAGTCAATGTGGAATTTTGTTTATTTGACCTGGCCAATTTTAAATGAAGCCCATTCACAATAGATAATGATGTCATTATACATCATTTTCGAGGTATGAAAACCAATAAAAAGAATTATAATTTTCTTAAAGATTTTTAAATACATTATACACTACTGCCTTGTTTGGAAAAATAAAATAAAATAATATTATTATGTCATGCCCCCCACTAAATGAGTCTTGGCTCAGCCATTAATTGTTGCACCATGTACTTTCCTCGAAACATCTTTCAAAGTCTTCCATTTAAGAATATTTGACCTTTTCTTCTACCTTGAAACCCTTATACATTTACAAGCTTCATTAGTTACTTGCCAAAAGAGTACAGTTCAAAAATAATCTTAGTTTAAATTAGTGTAGAAAAAGATCATTATCCATGAATTTTTTTTCAATCAAACACACCCATAGAATGTTGGANACAGTTCAAAAATAATCTTAGTTGAAATTAGGGTAGAAAAAGATCATTCTCCATGAATTTTTTTTCAATCAAACACACCCTTAGAATGTTGGATTTATAATTAAAATAAGCAACTTCTAAATTTTAGACAAACTGTCAATTGAAATTTTGCTTATAAGTTTTAACTTGATGATAAGTTTGATAACATACTCATAAGAGCTTAACAACATTGGAGTTGGAGAAGCTTGCTAGCTCATAAAAATTATTATTATTTTTTTACCTTTTTAAAAAAATGAATTAGTGATCCCTGGGAAACCTTTTACAAAGTTCAGTGATGAATGAGGTGATTTTTAAAGTTCGATGTCCTCGTGAAAATCTTTTGCAAAATTCAGTGATAACTTGGGTGATTTTGAAAGTTCAGTAACTTCTTGGAAGCATGGCGTAAAGTTCGGTGATTATTTGGGCAATTCACTCTCCATATTTGGGAGTTTACTATCCACTTTTAGGCTCTGTTTGAACCAAATTATTGTAAAATGAGAATGAAAAATATAGTCGCTATTGGGGCCCACACGAGATAGAAAATTTAAATTTAAATGTTGATACGATGGATAACGGTCATATTTTTCATTTTAATGAGATAATAATATAGATCAAACGGGGGCTTAAATAATTTTTATACATAAATGAATTTTTTACCCATAAGTAACTTTTTATATTTTATAAATAATTTTTTTTCTTATTGGTAGTATTTTTACTTTATGAACAATTTTTTACACAAAGTATTTTTAATTTTACAAGTAATATTTTACTTATATGTAATTGTTTAATTATAATGTAATTTTTTTACTCATAAATAATTTTCTTAGTTAAAATTTTTTTATGTAAAAGTTAGTCTTGAACAAAATATGGTGATTGAAAATAATTATTTTATAAAGTGTAAAATTAGAAAGGAATATGAGAAA